GGTTTCTGAGCAGCTTTAAGAGATCCTGGTAGAGGGCACAAACACACCCATTCCACAGCGGCCCTCTCGCCTAAGGCTGTCTTTTGTATCCTGTGACTGAAAACTTACACAGCTCTTAGGACTTCGCTGAAGATTACATTGTAGCTAGTCTACCATGAGCTTTGAATTTTCTTGGAATTTCACTGTCAAAAGCAGAACGGCTTTTTCATCTTTGAACTGGGAGGAGTGGTTTAGTTTGCCCCTTACTTTTTGCACGTTCCGAAACTGAAATTGAGAACCTTAAGCAACTTGCCTGAAGTTACACAGTTAAGTGAGTACGGGAACGGAAATGAAAAGCTCTTAAGTTTCCTGATGTCTGGTTTATTATCACAAGGAAAGCTCTGCCCACAAGAAGGACATTTCAGTTCAGATTCTCTATAACTTTTAAGAACATAGACGAATATATCAATTTCAGTAGAAACAGCTGATCAAGATAGCTTTATCATTCTCAAGGGAATGTAATTTTAAGGAGATATATTTGGAGTAACCGGATTTTAAACTATATTGCTATGGATTTTAAACTATATTGCTAATTCTTCTCTAGTGTAGTGGAGGGGGCTATTTTCCAATGCTTCATGAACTATTTAAACATTTCCTTATTTAATACTTTTTTTAACCGTAAAAGCACTTAGTTGAGAATAAACACAAGTTGGTTATACAAGCCCTTCACACGGAGGGCTCCATACATATGGGCGATGCCGTAAGCCAAAGAAGGGTATAACAGAGTGGGGAAATGGTCTCCACAGTGCTTTATCGTGGACAAAATGCCTTCACATACATTATCAAACTGATCCTCGGGACAGTTTTGTGAAAGTAGGGAGAATAGACATAAGTACAGCTGTTTTCCAGAAAACAAAACCAAAGCTCAGCGATACAGAGTGACTCACCCAGCACAGGTAGGTGCTGAGTTGGGACTCAAACTCAGGTTTTCACTCTAAGCCCCGCAACTCGTTTCATTACCTCCTGGTGCATTAGTTACACAGGTGATAACACCTTATGGAGCAATCCCTGTTTTCTTTTCTCTAGGACAGAAACTGCAGTGGCTACACTTTCCCTGCCCAGGTGCAGGTGGTTTCAGTTCCTGGCTTGCATTATTCTATTCGGGGTATTTACCTTACATGGAGGGACTAGGGCTTTTAAAAATCATTAAAATGGGTTTTTGAGGTTATATTTATTTCTCCTTCACATCCTAAACTTTGGACGTGATGCTCTCTGGCTTTCCATTCAGATGAGAAAAGCACTATTGTGATTGTTGGCGGTCCCTCCCCAGGATGCCAGCATAAATGAAGGATGTTCTTTTTAAGAAAGAAAAAAATGCAATTTAGCAAGGTTCTTGACTCTCTTTTAACACAGCATCTATTTTTAAAGATGTTATTTGTTTTCATGTGTAACACTAGGTGGCAGAATAACTACACCACAAAGCACGATATCCTTTGTTTCTTGCTACTCTCGGAGCAGGGACCCGAATAGTGAGGCAGAAACCATCTGTCGCTGCATGAGATTGGACCAACCAACCTGGCCAATATTTTCTTGACAGGGAGCTGGCTGCAGTGATTCTAAAACATATGCTTCCAACATACTGTCTGTAAGGTTTCCCTCTTTCTTTTTTTTTTCCAGCTCCCCAGCATTTTACTTTTTCTGCCCCATTGCATCCATGTAGACAAGGCCTGCAGGCAGCTGCTTTGAAATGGCAGATCTGGATGGATGCACCCAGTGGCGCTGGCACTCTTGCCCCTGTGTGCCAGTGGGTCATGGAGGTCTGGGGAAAAGGCACCTGAGCCCTTGTCCTGAGTGGTATCAGCGGCTGTGGCCAAGGGCCAGCAGTGGCCAAGCTGGGCCAGCTTGAAAATGCTGCCCTCACTAACTCAGGTATACAGAAGGGTTTTTGTTTTGAAAGAGCAGCCTGATTGTGGTTCAGCTCTTCAGCTGGTTTAGAAACACTGCTGCATGGTCTGTGGGACATTGCCTCCAGTTTTTTTCCTTAATGGTTTGCCAGTGTCTCAGCACTCCCAAAGTGTCTGTTGCTCTAGATGCCTCACATGCCACAGGACACGCTAAGCTAAATGAAGCTGCAGCACCGGTTTTGTCCTTTCATGTTGTAAAGAGGATGAGCTTGGGGTACAGAAATACCTCTTTGTGTTTTTGCTGAAAAAGAAAAGAATATCATTAAAACAAAACAATGCATATCTAAGTCTAGTGATAATACTCTGTGAATACTCTATCTTAAGGCACTCCAGTAAAACCAAGTCTGAATGTATAAAATTGATGAAGCAGGAATATTTTATTTTAATTATAAAAGCATTCTTTACTTTACAACTGGAACCACAGTCGGATTTTATTAAATAGCAAGTTCCTGATGTGAATTGTAAATGATTCCATTTACAAAAGTGAAGAAAAAAAGTATTCAAACCTTGACTTTTTAGGAACCCACTTGTTGCACGAAACAGAGCAACTGGACTATAGTCTACCCACGTACTTTCACCGTACCCTGCTCTACTTTCCAGCTGGGAATCTCAGGGCTTGTTTTTTTTTTAGTTGATAGCTGAGGGTGCTGGTAATATCCTAATTTTTCAGAGAAGGCACTGGTGACATGAAGGCTCCTTGTTAAAGTGACCCAGGTGTGAGTCACAGTAATCAGGGTAAGCCTGTAGCTTAGGGATATGGAGGTTTTGTATATTTGTTTGCCTGCCAGAGCTGCCATTCTTTCATAAAGAATAAACTGTATGACTTTTGAGAATACCTGAAACAACATATAAATCAGACCAAGGATATCAATCACAGGCCACTACCATAGGGATGCTTTGAAGCTAGAAGAGGGTTGTGAGACCTTCTTGTTTGTTAAGAATGAAATGTCATAAAAATTCCAAAGCAGGACTCAGATTTCCAGGGGGAAGGGACCTCTTTATTGTTTCCTCTAATAGCTGCTTTGGTGCTTTAGTGAATAAATGTGTTGCTCAAAATAACCCTAGATGCAGTCTCAGAACTATAGCCTGGCTTTGCTCCCACTTTTGTACTGAGCATCCATTCTGAATTATTTATTTATGATAGTTTTGCTGTTTTCGTCACTGCTCGCTACCCCCTCTCCCCCCATCGTTTGTCTTGTCTTTATTCTCACACCCACTAATTAATTGATATCTTCTGCTCTTAGGACTACAGCAAATGTGTCTCTGTGTTTATGTGGATCCTCGCTAAGCAGGCCATGCTTTTAAGTTTCTGGAATAGAACAGTGGTAAAAATAAGTCACAGCTTGTTTCCATATTTGCTTCTGAGTCAAGATACTTAATTTTCTCATTATAATGCCCAAGGTATAGAGCTATAGAGTTTACTTTTAAGAGAAACAACCAAAATTCAGTCAAATCCTTTAATTAGATGTTTTCAAATCTTACAGAATTCTCTGGATTTATATTTACAAAATGAAAAAACACAGTGGTCATGGTTTTATTATTTCTGTCCATAGGGAGAAAAACCTTACCCAAAATAGGCCAAATCTTCTCCCAGATTCTCTGACAACAGGCGTTTTGGGTGTTGCCCAAAGTTGCTCATAACCTTAGGATGAGCAGCATTCACTGAGGCCCTTAGACCTACATTAAAATGACATCTCAAAACCAGACACCTGAGGGGCTGGGATCTAACAGTAAAAAAGCAGGGGAGTAGAGCTGAGGAGTAGGGGGCATTCACAGGAAGGGAGAGAATATTGGCAAAACAAGATGGGAGAGGTGAGCTGGGGGCCCAGCCCCAGTGCAGTGGCAGGACTGTAGCAAAGTGTGACCAGAGGTTCTGGCACCTCCCCCGTCATGGACACAAGCCAGAGATATCAGTTTCCCTTGGTTTTCAGCATAAAAAAGCCAGCTAATGTTCTTGAGTGTCAGTTTATTGAGCTCTCCAGTGCAGCCTCATAACTTACATTAATTGCGAGGAAAATGCTTCCAGAGAAAAGAGAGATGCGGCACAGAACAAGTTTGTCTTTGACTAGTTGTCACAGCCCTGCTGTTTGGAGTCATTGACAAGTCCTTGGTTCTTGTATGACAGACCCTGAATAAAAGAAGTGATTCATCTTCTCTCTGTTGCACCTTTCAAGGAGGACATTTTTTTCTTTCTTAAAGACAGATTTTGTTTATGGACTTAACATCACTGGCAGTGGCCAGTGGGCTCAGAATCTTTGCAAGGTGTAATTTACTATTGTGCTCCTCCCTCCTAAGTTTGTGCACCTCGAGAAGCTCCATCCCATTAAAATTCCTTCTTAAAAGCATAAGGTGAAAGAGCCAAGCATGTGTTGTTTTTTTAAAGGGGAGTGTAGCTACAGAAGGGGAGAGGGCCCCGGCTTTTTCTCTTTTAAATGCTAGTAAATAGCTTAAAACCTGTTGAAGCTTTTGGAGGAATGTGGAAGCGTTGTCATTTGGCTCTAATGTTTAGGAAAACAAAATAAAGGAAATAGTTTTAAGAAGAGACTTTCCTGTGATGGGCTCTATTCTCTGAAGTGTCCTGTAAGTGTCACACCTGTTCCTCCACGTACACAAGCTAACCTAAGTTGCCTCCTTGTCTGCCGCGCCCAGCTACTTTGCTCATTGCCCTACTGAATTCTTTTCAGACTTTAGTTCTGTACTTTGGCAGCTCAGCCCTTATAAAAGTGTGAGATACTGTTTTGTTTTGTTTTTAAATGTATTTTATTTATTTATTTTTGGCTGCATTGGGTCTTCGTTGCTGTGTGCAGGCTTTCTCTAGTTGCGGCGAGCAGGGGCTACTCTTCGCTGTGGTGCATGGACTTCGTGGGCTTCTCATTGTGGTGGCTTCACTTGTTGTGGAGCACGGGTTCTAGGCGCGCGGGCTTCAGTAGTTGTGGCATGCGGGCTCAGTACTTGTGGCTTGCGGGCTCTAGAGCACAGGCTCAGTAGTTGTGGCGCGCGGGCTTAGTTGCTCTGCAGCATGTGGGGTCTTCCTGGACCAGGGCTCGAACCTGTGTCCCCTGCACTGGCAGGCAGATTCTTAACCACTGTGCCACCAGGGAAGCCCTGAAATACAGTTTTTGACCGTGAGAAAGAATCGTGTTGTTTAAAGATGAAATGCTAATACATTTATGTACAAATTCTCCGTTTTCTAATGTTATAGGAAAACCACCAGTGTCTGTTGTGACCCAATGCAGTTCTTACTCAGCCATGTTATCTCGGATTCACGCACATAAAGATGGACCTGTCTGCCATTTGGAGAAGCCTTCATAACCTGGAAGGTTCAGGAAGGAACTGGTTTTTATTGAGAATTCAAAAGGAGTGTCTTTCATAGCCAATAGCCTTCCTTTTTGAGACTCACTTCTAAGGGGTCTTTTGCAGCTTCTACAAAAGAGAAAGAGCTCAAATTCTTCTTTCTACAGCCTGAAGGAATTGAGTATACCTATAGCCAAGCAGCTAAAACTAGAAAACAGCAAAATACAGTGTAAAAAAAAGCATTGCTTATTGTATTTTAGCTGTGGACATTTTGAGCTTCAGAGAATGATTAGGTCCTGGTTTTCCTGGGAAATTGTCTGTGTATGGACTCAAATGTAGGGCTTGAGAAATATGATGGAGAAATAGGAGCCATATAAGATGATGTGAATCTAGCTTGGATATGTATTTTTGAATTTACATTTAAATATGGTCCTATCTTAGCTTCTGGTAATTCAGTACACCCCCTCAGACCCAAATCTTTTCTCCTGCTTCTCCTTCACCACTCCTCCTTTCATCTCTCTCTCTCACACACGTGCACACACACACACACATATCTTTTGGCAAATAATGGAGAAATATACACAGTATTTTTAATGGGGTTATACTTAACTGTTTTGCAAGTTGTTTCCTTTTATGTAAAAGCTGCAGAAAAATGTACTTCATTCTTTTATAACAGCTGCTTATGAAGTCATTTGATATATGCATACATATTACGTATGTTTTTAACCCATTTGTTATTGATGGACATTTAGATGGCTCCTAATTTTTCACTATTCCAATGAATGCTGCAGTGTTCTGTTCTTTTTCTATTAAAAAAGAATGTTTCTCATTGTAAATGTGGTCAAACTCTTCATTCACAAAGGCAGAAAAATAAAAAGAAGAAAATAAAAATCACTTACTCATAATCCTCTATCTAGAGATGCTTTTAATGTTCTGTTTTATTTATTTCATGCTCTTTTCAATGCATTTGTGTGAGTATTTATAAAGTTGATAGGATGCTATGTGTAGTTTTGGTCCAGTTTTTTCTACTTAACTGTTTACCTTCGGTATTTTCTCTTATTAAATCCTCTTTTGAACAAATTCTCTACATGATGTATTTTGTCTTTTTGAGTTGTCTGTTTAGGTCTTTTATCCATTTTTCTATTGGGATGTTAATGTGTGTTTTTATATTGATTTGTAAGGACTCTTTTTGTAGTAAGGTCATTAATCTTTTGTCTCTCATGCTTATTTCAGTTATTTTCCTTAGTTTTTCATTTACCTTTTAATTTTGTTTATGGAACCATTGATATATAAAAGTCTTACATTTTTGTGTAATCAAATATATCAGTATTTTCCTTTATAGTTTCTTTTAGGCTTAAAAGGACCTTAAAAGAAGCTGTAATGATAATAATAGACATGTTTTTCAGCACTTAGCTATCATGTCAACAGTTTCATATGTATAAATTTATATATATTTACTCTTTATAACAAACCAGTGATGTAGGTAATGCTATCTCTGTTTCACTGATAAGGAAAGTAAGGCCCAGAAAGTCATATAGATGGAAGTGGCATAAACCCAGCCCATCTGGCCTGGGAGCCCACACTCTTCCCAACTTCACTGTATCACCATATGTTTCAAAGGGTATATTTATTTAGCCTCAAATACTCTGCTAAATCTTGCTGTGTCTCAACAATCACTAAAAACAAAAAAGTAAAACACCCATATTTTCTCCTAGTGTTTTGAATAGTTTAAATTATGTTTAATTCTAGTTTGTCCGGATCTTACCTTGATGTGTAGTGTGAGCTGGGGCTCATATTTAATTTTTTCAACTAGTCAGTGTCCCCAGTGTGTTAGCACTCCTTTAAGAATTTGGAAAGGACTTGCCTTTTCCAAGAAACCTTTATAATTAGTGCTACTTCATGCTGTTTCTTCAGTTATATTTCTTCAGAGTTGTTGGTTTCCTCAGCAGCTTTGGTCTATATAATTTTGTGGAATCTTATGTTGCTGCTAGATTAAAAGTATCATTAAAAGTATTAAAAGAGACTAACTCTTCCAGTTGTTTTTACTCTGTATATAAGAATAGGATAAGAGATACTTATCCTAGGGTCAGTGGACCCCTCTTCTCCCTGAGTTCTGGATATCTATGAACTTGGGTAAGAAAAAAAATTACATCTCCATTTTCACCAACCTTTTAATGAAATTGAGCATTTCTTCAATTTTGAATGTAGACAATAAACCATAGTCGTATTAGCAGAACCTGTGATTTTAAACTACAGATACTTAATATTACATTTCAGTTGCTCCAAATATCTTGAAATATTCTTTACACTTATCACTACTTTGACGTTTTAGTAATTATATTAGACCCACCACTAGATTTTGCTATTTAATGGATTAAGAAGCACATTTATTAATATTTTATATATTCAAAAATTATTTTGAAAACTGGATTTCCATAAAATTGGTTTCCTTTGTTATCCTATGTATTTTATTTTATGCACTTGGAAACATTTTTCTTCTGAGAAGGGGTCCATAGGTTTCATCAAACCACCAAAGGGATCATGGCATAAACATTGTGAAGAGCTCTAGTCTGTTTCAATGCAAGGCATACCATTGAGCTTTATAAATACTCCTTAGTACTGAGTGATAAAAAGGTGGTTTGGGAGGAGCTGGAAAACAGTCCAGCATATCCCTCTCTATTGTCTTGATTCTTCCACTTCTGGAAGTATTCTCTTTATCATCCTAAATAGAACTATTTCTTCTCTTCCCTCTCCTTCCCCCTTCCCCCTCCCTCCTTTTCACTTAGTACCTCTCATTTCTTCCCTATTCTCTTTCTTTTTCATTTCTCTTTCTCTTCCTCCTTTATTTGGCTCCTCCACCCTTTCTTTTTCTTCCTTTTCGTCTCTCTCCTCTCTAAAAATATTAATATCTTAAGGAGTTTGTGTTTCAGCTTGTTTCAAAAAATGTTTCCTCTTTTAGGTCTAAGAATGAATTCAAAGACAGTGGGGAAAAGGAGTTGATAGAAAGAGTTAATAACATCAGCAAGAAGTTGAAAGCAAGACTTGCCAAAAATAAGTGTGAGGTAATTACCTGGAGATAATTAAGAATCGACCTTAAAGGGCACCTACCTGGTTTGTTTGACCCTTGGAAAGAGCCTCTGTCTCTTGGTTCTGGCCCCATAAATCCAAGTCCTGCTTTCATATTTGACTTATCCAACTCCTTTGATAAATTGTTTGCCTCATAAGACAATCATTCACTTTTAATTTTCAAAGTACCCGAAGGGAGGGACCTGTTTTGAAAGAATGAGACAATTAGACTGTATTATTGATTTGCAGTCATTTCTTTGGGATCAGTTCAAAAGTGTACATATTTAAGGGGCAAAAGTTATCACACAGTTTTCCACTTAAAGTGGAACTTTTGATGCCTGGAATAAGTTAGTATTTAGTTTCTGAGATGCTCATGCCATGGTCTCACCTGTCTGCTGAAATGTGATAGTGATTCATCTTAGTCATCGGTCATGGGTACCTACTGATACAATCTGTATGGCTATAGCATTTTTCCTCTTTTTCTTAAAGTAAGTTCTGTTTGGGATAATGCCATTTTTCTACACTAAAAACATTAGCTCGTCTTACAGCTAACATAAGCTGAAAATTTGAGGTGCCTGGGGGAGGGAAATAAGGCAGATGGATTGTTTACATGAGTGCTATAGTTTCACTTTTTATGCACCAGGTCACATTGGAAGAATTAATGCCCTGTAAGTTTGCCAATCAGATTGCTCCAGTCATCTCTAAACATTCCATTTGGTTTATTAGAATAATAAATACTGTGCAAAGAAAGTTCATTTGGATCCAGGATATTATACTGTGGTCAACCAAAGAAATATGTGCTACACCTTACCTCTGACTAGATTTGGTCAGGTGACACCCTGAATTTGACGAATGGGTACAGATTTACCCTATTTGGGCATTGAATTTGAGGACTGGTCCCTGGAGTTATAGTTCATGTAACTGGAGTTATAGCATCATTGTTACCTGTCCTGGCCGGTGTTGGTTGCCATTTCACTGGCCATTTCTGTCATGTCCCTCACCATCTGATGTCTGCTAAGCATTCTCTGTGGAAAGGAGTAAGAAGCTTCTCTTCATCCTGCCAGGTCGATTTGGGTATCTGAAGTCACCCCCAGAAAAGATTTACCGAAAAGTCCATTTAAATGTTTCATCTGATTTGATGACTAGGACCCTGAATTAATTTCATTTTGGGAAGTCTCAGTTTTTACGTCTGGCTTTCAGATCCTTCTCCTCTTATTCAGGCTTGTTGCAGCTGTTTGCCAGAGATACCTCTGCTGCTCTCAGGGAAATAGCTCTGTGAGTCACACTGCTTTATCATTATACTTTGGTATTTTCTCTCAAGCTGCTTTCCTTATCTGTAGAGTCCCTCTTCTCTGAGGTTAGTTCCCAATCCTTCTATGTTTCTAAGGCCTGGGTCAAGGCCCATCTCCTTCACGAGCCTTTCCTACAGTCTTAATCCATCACCAGTCTCTCTTGCTGCTGAACTTCTACAGATCTGACAATTGGTGCAAAAAGTTAAACTTTGGGCACAGGAAGCGATCAAATTGAGTCAGAGAAATACTAAAGTCATCGATTTAATTCTGGTTTTATTCATATAAAGAGTACTAAAGAGATCGTAAGTAATCAGTATTTCTAAGAACAAAGTTCTTATTTTAACGTTTTATTGCTGGGGATACAGGTTCTAGGGAAAAGTAATAAAATCTGAAATTGAAAAAAAAATTACAAAATGACGGTGTACTAATCAAATTAATTGCAGCATTACTTATGAAGGGAAAAACGCCCCCAGTGTCTTAACAGTGGAAGAACGACTAGTTCCCTTAATACACTGTGCTTATATTAATTGATAACAATTTAAAATTAAATGATGATTTTGAAGACTTTGAATTGGTAAGAACTTTTGTATAATGGTAAGCAATAAAAGCAGAATATAAAATTAAAAACACGTGTATATATGTATCAGGTTGGAGTGTGGATAAATGAAAACAGTTGACTTGTTAAGGTAGTGGGATTGGTAATGTTTTTAACATTGTAACAGTATTATAGAATCCTAAAGTTTATTATATGAATATATTAGAGTTTTTATGTTTGTTTGCTTTTAAAATTTATTTTACTTATTTACTTTTGGCGGCTTTGGTTCTTTGTTGCTGTGCGTGGCTTTCTCTAGTTGCAGCGAGCGGGGTCTACTCTTCGTTGCAGTGTGCGGGCTTCTCATTGTGGTGGCTTCTCTTGTTATGGAGCACTGGCTCTAGGTGCACGGGCTTCAGTAGTTGTGGCTTAGTTGCTCCGCGGCATGTGGGATCTTCCTGGACCAGGGCTCGAACCCGTGTCCCCTGCATTGGCAGGCACTTCTTAACCACTGCGCCAACAGGGAAGTCCCTGTGTATTTTTTTTTTTCAGATTTATTTATTTATTTATTTATTGACGTACAGTTGATTTACAATGTTGTGTTAGTTTCAGGTATACAACAAAGTGATTCAGATATATATATATATATATATGTTATATATCAAAATATACATGTATTTTTTTAAAAAAACATGTCTTCTCTATCACTTGGAAAAGCAGAAAATCAAAAAATAATAAAATAAATTATCTCCCGATTTATGCGTTGAGCACTTAATATGCAGCAAGAGTCCTTACTTAGAATCTGGAGGTATATAATGTCTGAAAAAAATAAAAATAAAATGGTGCTTTAAAAATAAAAACAATAGATAGTTCATGCTTTTGATTAATGGGTAGATTTATTATTATGACGAAAGTGAGAATATTCAAACTGAACGATGGAAACTGACTTTTTTGTTTTTTTAGAATAGATACATGCTTTTTTTTTGTTTTTAAATTTCATTTATTTATTTATTTTTGGCTGTGCTGGGTCTTCTTTTCTGTGCGTGGGCTTTCTCTAGTTGCGGCGAGCGGGGGCCATTCTTCATCGCGGTGCTCGGGCCTCTCACTGTCACGGCCTCTCTTGTTGCGGAGCACAAGCTCCAGACGCGCAGGCTCAGTAGTTGTGGCTCACGGGCCCAGCCGCTCCGCGGCATGTGGGATCTTCCCAGACCGGGGCACAAACCCGTGTCCCCTGCATTGGCAGGCAGACTGTCAACCACTGCGCCACCAGGGAAGCCCGGAAACTGACATTTTTTTTTAATACTTTCTATGTGCCAGACATGGTGCTAAATGTTTAGTATAGTTTATTTCATTTAAATATCTGTAAAACCCTGGGAAAAAGTTATTACTACTCCCCTTTTAATGGTGAGGTACCTGAGATTCAGAAACATGAATTGTGTGAGATGACATGGGTAGTAGGATTCGAAACCAGTTGTTGGTTTTGATTCTTTGTTTTTTTTCTCATCCCAGAAACATATCTCTTTAGTCAGTAATAAAATTACTGGACCCTGGGAAGTTCCCATGGGCTTTATGTCTTGTCATAATAAAACTTAAAAGCCCTAGGTTCACTGACTAATAAAACAGCATATGTGTGTAAGTGTATGTTTATGTATTACTAATAATGATTTCTATGGTTCCTTCAAAATATAACTTATTTTAGAAAACTACGTCGTCTCAAGGATAGAGTTTACAATGTAGACCGTGATGTCAGATTGTCTGTGTGTGTGTGTGTGTGTCTGTGTGTGTCTGTGTGTGTGTGTGGTGTCAAACAATGAAGCCACCTTTCTCACCATATTCTCACTCAAGGCCATCCCAGAAGTTGCCTGCTTTTTTAGGGCAGCTCATGACCATCCCCATGAGATGGTTTACTAGAGAGCATCATTCTCCCTCCTTCTCATACTGGTACTGTTGGAATTAGACTTGTATAGTTGTGAGGAATAAAGATCCACTGAAGCTAGCCCAAATGAAAAGAAGATTTACTGCAAAGAAAGAAGAATCCCCTGGAAATTCAAGAACAGGAGCCATGACAGTGTGGAGCTTCATGGAGTCTGGTACTGGAAGGTAGACTTCAGCAGGGGAGCTCATGGAGCCTCATCTACTGATGTGTCTCAGCTGCAGTCCGCAAAGCTTCTTCCCGACCCACTGCCCACTGTCAAATTCTCCCCTCATATTTTGCCCTTGACTCAGTTGATTAATTCTGCTCTAGTCAACTTTGACTGGGAATGAGTAAACCTGGTCTAAAAAATGACCACCTCGGCAGTGGAAACTAGAATTTTACACAGGAGGCCATGGGAGCAGCAACATGGTTGGAGGAAGGTGAGGAAGGATGCCATTTATAGGCTACATTTGCACAAAAATTTACAGAGAATTTCATTTGTTTATATCAGAGAATGTGAGGGAGAGGGGAGGGGATGTACCTTTTACCAACACTGCAGAAACGACTGTTGATAGGTGGTCTCCCTTAGAAGGAGACCTGCTTGTGGTAGGCCAAGATCAAAGTGTCTAGTGTAGGGACACGAAACAGATTATTGTTACTTATTCAGGCACTATGGATTTGTTTTTAATTACTGATACCTAGACCCATATTGAGACGCTGGGTTTCACTCGGAAGCAAGAGTTAGGCTCTAATTAGAGAGGGAAAAAAATACAGAACCTAAGCTGGAGGAAATCAGACTTATGAAATATCCATTTCTAAGCTATAGTCATTGATCAACTTCGTGGTCTCTGCTAGGCTCCTAACTCCATTTCCCTATAATCATTCTTTTTATTTTAAAATTTATTTATTTATTTTAAATTTATTTTCTGGCTGCGTTGGGTCTTCGTTGCTGTGAGCGGGCTTTCTCTAGTTGCGGCAAGCGGGGCCTACTCTTCATTGTGGTGCATGGGCTTCTCATTGTTGGGGCTTCTCTTGTTGCAGAGCACGGGCTCTAGGCACGTGAGCTTCAGTAGTTGTGGCATGTGGGCTCAGTAGTTGTGGCATGTGGGCTCAGTAGTTGTGGCTCGCGGGCTCTAGAGCACAGGCTCAGTAGTTGTGGCGCACGGGCTTAGTTGCTCCATGGCATGTGGGATCTTCCCGGGCCAGGGCTTGAACCTGTGTCCCCTGCATTGGCAGGCAGATGCTTAACAACTAAGCTACCAGGGAAGTCCCTATAATCATTCTTGATGACCTCATTACCCATGTAGATAATGTGTCCAACATTCTACCTTCCCAGGGTGACTCCCTCCCCGCAAGGATGTAGTCTTCCATCCTACTTCAGCAACCCATTCTGATGGGCTTACCTTACACCTGATATTACCGGTTACGCCATCCCCTCTTCCACAGCCGTGACTTCAAGTATCCTTTTCCCTGACCACCACCTCCTGTATTTATAGCTCATTTATTCTATTATCCCCACTCCAAAAACACTTTGATCACATGAAGATCCCCAAACTGAGTCCATGGTCCACTGTGATAGTCACAACTTTGTATATACCCTCAACTTCTTTTCCTTTCTTGCCTTTCATCATACTCATACCCTTAGGAAGACCTCTATACTAATTAAAGCTAACTCTTTGTCCACTGTGTGCTTTCACTGAAGAAAAACACATACTGTCTAAATTTATATTCATAATCTTTACTTGAATGCCTTCAGTCCTGCTCAGCAGTTCTATTATCCCCTCTCTGAAATAACCATTTCACAACTTCTCCTTTCTCTAACTTCTGATACTTCCTCTCTCCTCTGCCCTGATGACTTTTCTCTAATTTCACTGCGAAAATGGAAGCAATCAGAAGAGGTTGTTTCTCATCTTTCCACTAACAACCCTGTCAACTCTATCTACACCCATATTCTCCTTCGTCCTGTCTAAGGCCAGCCCTCAACTCGTGCACTGGATCCCACTCACTGTCACCTCCTTGAACACCTCACACCTTTCTTTCCACCTTAATTTCTCTCTCTCCACTTCCTGTCAGCATTAATGCTGGAATAGCTCTCATCTTGAAAATCTACTGTAGATTTCACATTTCCCCTCTGGCTACCCTTTGTTTCCTCCAACTCAAAGGATGCATCTAAATCCTCACTCACTGTCTTCACTTCACCGTCAATTCTCTTCCCATCCCACTCTGATTAGGCTGTTGTTCCCACCCTCCCACTGAAACCAATCTTGCCAAGGTTACTAACGACCTTTGCTTTGTTGATTCCAATAGCCAGTTCTCAGTTTTCACCTTTCACGCATTCTCAGTAGCATCTGACACAGTTGATCCTTGATTCGTTTTCTTTACTTGGCTTGGTTTCTGGGACATTACGCTGCTGCTGCTGCTGCTTCTCCTCCCCCTCCTCCAACTTCCCCTCCCCCTCCTCCAACTTCCCCTCCCTCGCCTCCAACTTCCCCTCCCTCTCCCATCCTCCTTCTTCCTCTTCTTCTTCTTTCTTCTTTCTTCTGCTCCTTCTCCTTCTTCCCAATTGCTGCTCTTCTCTGTCTCCTTTGCTGGCTCCTCCTTCTCTTTCAAGCTCGCGTCTTGGGTCTTAATTCTTCACTGTTCGTTTTTTGTTTCTTTTTTGCAGATATGTGTGTATATATATTTCTTATTTGAACAGATACTTTTATATTTCTTGTTTCCTCTTCTTTCTTACACAAAAATGTAGCGTTCTATAGATACTCTTCTGTACTTTTTCTTAGTTAATGTATCCTTCAGTTATTCCATATCAGTTCACAGAGATTTTCCTCCTTTTTTTTCTACTGCATAGTACTCCATTGTGTCAATATACCATAAGATGACATTTTGGAACCAATCTTTGATTGTATTGAGCATACTTTTTCCTTTCTAAGTTATAATTAGTTTGGAGAGCTAGTTGGGTCTTGGTGGTAATGGTATGCTGTAGTAATCTCCCCAAACTCAACAGTTTAGGAAGAAACTAACATTTCTAACAAGTGAAAAGAACTTGTCTGTATGTGTAATGATTTTAGGCCTTAGTTTCCACATCTATAAAAATGAAGGCATTGGTCTAGATGATCTCTAATGTCCTTTCCATCTTAAATATTAAAAAAAAAAAACCATACCAAAGCTGCGATTTGTCCAGTACAGCTAATTTGAAAACATGAGCATATTTTTAACCTCTTTGTTTTAAATTGAGATATTATTGATATATAACATTGTGTTAGTTTTGGGTGTACTATATAATGATTTGATATATGTATACATTTCAAAATGATTACCACAGTAAGTTTAGTTAACATTTATCACCACACATACTTACAATTTTTTTCTTCTGATGAGAACTTTTTAAAAAATTGAGGTATAATTAACATATAACATATTAGTTTCAGGTCTACAGTGTAATGATTTAATATTTGTATATATTGCAAAATGATCACCACAGTAAGTCTAGTTAACATTGGTCACCATACGTAGTTACAAATTTTTTTTTTCTTGTGCTAAGAACTTTTAAGATCTACTCTCTTAGCAACTTTCAAATATATAATACAGTATTTTTAACTATAATCCCCATGCTGTGCATTACAGTCCCATGGCTTATTAATTTTATAACTGGAAGTTTGTACCTTTTGACCCCCTTTACCTGTTTCACCCCCCACCACTTGGCTCTGGCAACCACCAATCTGTTCTCTGATGAGCTGGGGAGGGGAGGTCCTTCTGTTTTTGTTTTGTTGTTGTTTCAGATTCCATGTATAAGTGAGGTCATACAGTATTTGTCTTTCTCTGTCTGACTTATTTCACTTGAGGTGCATCCAAGTTGTTGCAAATGACAATTTCATTTTTTATGGCTGAATAATATTCCATTGTATATACATTATACAACCACATTTTCTTTATCTATTCGTTGATGGACACTTAGGTTAACCTGTTTCCATATCTTGGCTCTTGTAAATAATGCTGCAGTGAACTTGGGTGTGCATGTGTCCTTTTGAGTTGGCATTTTCATTTTCTTCAGATAAATACCTAGAAGTGGAATCGCTAGATCATATGCTAGTTCTGTTTTAATTTTTTGAAGAACCTCCATACTGTTTCCATAGTGGCTGCACCAATTTACATTCCTACCAACAGTGCACAAGAGTTCCCTTTTCTCTACATCCTCACCAGTACTTGTTATCTTGTCTTTTTGATGATGGCCATTCTAGCAGGTGTGAGGTGATACCTCATTGTGGTTTTGATTTTCATTTCCCTGATGATTAATGACGTTGAGCACCTATTCATGTACCTGCTGGCCATCTGTATATCTTCTTTGGAAAAATGTCTATTCACATCCTCTGCTCATTTTTTAATCAGATTGTCTGTTTATTTGTTTGTTTCAGCTATTGAGTGGTATGAATTTTTTATATTTTTTAAATATTAACCCCTTATCAGATATATGACTTGCAAATATTTTCTCCCATTCAGTAGGCTGCCTTTTCATTTTGTTGACAGTTTCCTTTGCTCTGCAGAAGATTTTTAGTTTGCTGTAGTTCCACTTGTTTATTTTTGCTTTCGTTGCCTTTGTTTCCAGTGTCAAATCCAAAAATCATTGTCAAGACTGGTGTCAGGGAGCTTATGCATATATTTTGTGGTTTCAGGTATTACATTCAAGTCTTTAATCCATTTTCAGTTAATTTTTTTGTGTTCAGTGTAAGATAGGGGTCCAGTTTCATTCTTTTGCAGGTGGCTGTCCAGTTTTCCCAAAACCATTTATTGAAGAGACTGCCTTTACACCATCATATATTCTTGGCTCCTTTGTCATAAATTAATTAACCATATATGCATAAGTTTATTTCTGGTCTGTCTATTCTGTTCCATGTGTCTTTTTATGCCAATACTATACTGTTTTGATTACTATAGCTTTGTAATATAGTTTGAAATCAGGGAGTATGATGCCTCCAGCTTTGTTCTTTCTCAAGGTTACTTTGTCTATTTGAGGTCTTTTGTGGTTCCACACAGATTTTAGGATTATTTGTTCTGTTTCTGTGAAAAATGCCATTGGAATTTTGATAGGGATTTTGTTGAGTTTGTAGATTGCTGTAAGTAGTATAGACATTTTAACAATGTTAATTCTTCCAATCTATGGCAACTTCTTTACATTTCTATCTTTGCTTGTACCTGTCCCATGGCTTTAAATATCAGCTATACATACACTGGTGACGATTCCAACTCTGAATGCCTTGGTTCTACACTCATATACCCAAATGCCTCTTGACATTGCCACTTGTATGTCTAGCAGGCATTCAAACTTAATATATTTAAAACAGAGCTCTTGATTTCTCCCCAAAGCTGCTTCTTTGATAATCTTTATGATCTCAGTTAATGGCACACCATTTACCCAGTCGCCCAGGCCAAGAACCTTGGAGTCACTCTTGATTGCATTTTCCTCACTCACATTGAATCTATCAGCAAGTTTGTCAACTCTGCTTTCAAAATAAGCCCTGAACCTCTCCTCTTCTCACCTCCTCCACCTCTACCATGCTGTCACGTCACTATCATTAGTGATCTAAGCAACTTGTAATAGCCTAGATTCCCAGTTTCTACTTTTGCCCTCTTAAATCTATTCCCTGTGCAGCAGCCAGCGTGTTCTTTCTAAGCATAAATCATGCCCTATTACTCTGCTGCCCAAAACCCTCCAGTGGCTTTTCATCCGTCTCAGAGTATAATCCAAAATCCTCACCATGGCCCCCAAGGTTTTACATGGTCTGCCGTTGTTTTGATTGGATTTCCGTGTTGACTACAGCTGCGCTTGCCTACTTGTCATTTCTTCAACCTACACACCAACACCATGTACCCTACTACAGTGTAAGCTCCACGAGGCAGGGACTTTGTTTTAGTTATTGCTATAATCTCAGCCCCTAAAACAGAGCCTGTCACATAGAAGGTGCTCTATAAATATTTGCTGAATGAAGTGAATTGAATTACAAAAGAGTCTCTTTTCAAAAAAAGGGGGAGAAAGTGCTAAATGAACGTCTTCTTGAGCTGTCATCAGTGAAATTATTCAAAGTATGGGATTTTTTCCATCACTTCTCTTTCACATCTACCGCTCCTAGAAATTATATGATTACAATGTCTTACTAAAATTCTTGATTTTCTCAAGGAAATCACAGTGTTGCTTTTAGATGCATGTGAATGAATTTTTAAATGTTGGAAATCACATGTAGAAGAAGCATCAGGATTTCAGGAAGTTGTGGAGATGCAGTGCATCAGCATGCTGGTCGCTTCCACTCAACCTTTATCCCATTGGGCCTATCTGTTCTCTTGCTATTTTGAAAAAACTGAACAAAATGCAAAGAAAAGGAGGATGACTAAAAAACTCTCAGAGCACCGATAAAGCGCTTTAAACGCCTTTGTTGGGGTCACCCCATGTGATTTAACATAAGGGGGTTGCCTTTTTTTAGTGATTGAGGAAGAATTGGCAAGGTTAAACATGCAATGCCAGTTGTAATCAGACAGTGTGGTTATAAATGGCCACGGTTTCATATGATTCCAAAGCAAGATGGATAGCAGACCACAGATAAGCACAGGTCTATGGTGGATACATACATGGAGCACCACGAATATATATTTTTTACATTAGGTCAGGTCTATTCAAAGAAGCTGGCAACACATTTTATAAAGTAAATTCTCTTAGTCATCCTAGAAAATTTTGGTAAGCAACCAGTGTTTATATTTATTTTAGTCTTTTTTATTTCAGGTTAGATATTTTCCAGTGGATATTTGTACCAAACATTTCTGAAAAAGAAATGATACAGCTCAAAACTGGTGTCATTATTTCTATGCCATCTGGAGAAGATATTGCCTTCTGGGCTCTATAGCTTTCCTGAATTACATCCTTTGTTTGTTTTTAATTTGGAGGTTTATGTCGTTTTCACCAAAAACACTGGCTTTGGAAGACTCATTTGATGTGTGGTTTTCTGTCTCACAAAGATGGGTTCTGTGAGATCTTGATCAAGGTAATGATTGTGGGGAAGTAAAAAGAGGACTGGCTGCTAAGTCTCAAGATTTGGGTTCCAATTTTGACATGTCCCCTTCATGTTTTTTTTTTAATCACATCTCTCTGAGCTCCAATTTTTTCATGTGTAAAAGGAGGGATAAAATTGAATTTCTACCCTACATGGTTATTATAAGAATTAAATACCCATGTAGACATAACTGGGATAACTAGGATGATGCCCGACACCTTAGAAGATACTGGGGCAAGTATTTGTTTGTTCCCCCATTCATCGTGATTTGTTACTGTTGTGCTGTTGTATCCTTGATTCTCCAGTTAGCTGTTCAGTGTCTTTCATAGCTCTGATTATAAGAGACACATACATTTATTATTATTGGTTC